GTCGACTCTGAGGATCCCTCTTATGCCAAGGTATCAATCTGGGTATCAACGGTTCCATTCCACCGAAACAGCTTTGTTATATGTTTTATCAAGTTTGTTTGCTGCAGCTGAGGTTCAAAACATATCGGTACTATCATTCCTTGATATGTCAGCAGCGTTCGATTGTGTGGATCATGACATGCTTATAAAGAGATTGGAGTGCAGTTATGGTGTTCTTGGAGTTGCCCGTGACTGGTTCAGGTCATATCTCAAAAATCGTACACAACAGGTCGCTTTTAAAAACACAGAGTCAGATGTATCGTTGGTCTCATCGGGGGTGCCGCAGGGATCTGTACTGGGACCCATCCTGTTTCTGCTTTATACATCAGATATAATAAAAATAATCAGTTCCCACGGATTTGTTTGTCATGCCTTTGCGGATGACATCCAGGTGCTGATCACCGGTTCTCCGAGATCATTTGTAGATGAAATAAACAGATTTAATAAATGTATGTCGGACGTTGGCCGTTGGATGTCCGATAATTCATTGAAGTTAAACCAATGCAAGACTCAGTTCCTCCCAGTTGGGACATGGCAGCAGTTATCGAAGATGAATGTCACTTCAATCAAAGTACAAACATATCCTTTAGTACAACAGCTGTCAATTTGGGGATTCTACTGGATAATGAGCTATCTATGAAAGACCACATCAGGATGATTTCAGTCTCAGCCATTGCTCATCTTAGAAATTTATATCGAGTCAGACATTTGCTGGATAGATCAACTCTGGAGGATCTGGTCCATGCGTTCATAACATCACGGCTGGACTACTGCAACAGTTTGTTTTACGGTTTGCCTAATAGATCAATTGACATGCTTCAGTCGGTTCAGAACAGGGCTGCAAAACTTGTAACTGGCAAATTGAAATTTGACCATGTAACTCCAATATTGAACGAGCTTCACTGGTTACAAATTAAGAAAAGAATAATTTTTAAAATTGCAGTGATTGTGTTTAAATCCTTGAATGGAATGTCACCGGCTTACATCTCAGACAAATTTTCCAGGAAGGCATCTACAACCTGTTTTCATCTAAGATCAGATAATATGAATCTTTTGGCGGTCCCAGCTAGGCATCTACGAATAGGTGCGAGAGATATTGCGGTCGCAGGTCCGACAGTCTGGAATGACCTACCAGTTTCATTAAGAAGATCTGGAATTAACTTTGTGACATTTAAAAGGGAATTAAAAACATACTTATTTTCTGTGGAAAAACAATGAATTTGAATATTTTGATTTATATCAATCATGCACAGTTATTTATTTTATTTTTGATGGCGCTTTTGAAATTATTAATTTGCGCTATACAAATGTTTCTAAATAAATAAATAAATAATATATAAACACCTTTTATCATCAATTTAAAAAAATTGTAATATAGTACATGTAGTGTTTAGATAGCAGAACACAGAACAAGCTTCACAAAAAATTAAATGCTGTACTTGTATAAAATATATGCTTTAGACATTGATCTGAAATAGAAAAAATGCTCACGTTTTTATTGCAACATCAAGTATGTATTTGCAAAGTATAAATTATAATGATGCCAAACAGTCCAAAATTATTCAGGAATATTTAAAACAAATTATTGGAGATAAAAAGTAAACTTAATTAAAACAAAGACATGGTGATATAGAATAAAATAGAGGAATAGTCAAGGGGGACTTTGGGGCTAAAGTTCATCCAAAAATGTAATGTAGCTAAAAAGGTTATGGCTAAACGCTAAACTAAAACGGCTGAAGTAAACTGAATAAAATAAAATGTATTCTACAATGACATTTAATTGGGGAAACTGGTTCTGTGTGCCATACTACTATTTTTGTAATAAAAAAAGTGTTTTTTACTTGACAGTGAGAAGTTGTTGGTCGATAAAAATGACAGACAACATTTTTACTCTTTTTGCATACGTCGAAAAACTCTGGTTCGTCGTGTATTTCCGTGTAATTCCCGTGCCCTAATTTTAGCCATTCTTCTTTTTGCACCTGACTTTTTTTTAAATTTAACAGCCGTTTTTTTCTCAATTCTTCAAAATCACTATCACTTTTTAAATTGTCTAATTCCTCTAATTTTGAATCCACTTGTTGTTCTAAAATTTGAGCAGCCGCAAGAACCTGTTTTTCAAGATAATCACCCATGGCGGCGGATAACAACGATTAGTCGTTTGATTCGTACGTTAAGTTTCTTATAAATGTAAATAAAAGTAAAAGTTAATTTACTTTTTAAAATTATGCAGATAAAAAATAAGTTCTGAACCACTTATCAAGTGCAAATAAATATCAATTCTAAATTTACCAAAATTAAATTTTTTCAAATTTATTTGGCGGCCTCTTTGTAGTTATTGAGAAATCAAAAAGTGCTTTGCCCTCTGAAAGTTGGCCTTTGTGCTTGATGGTGATTTAAAAATATTTTGGTCAGGCACGATCAGACACTTGCCCAATGGTAGAATTTAATAAACCCGAACGCAATTCACCAAAATATGCATATTTAGCGGTGACATGCTTTGAAATAATAATTGAAATTAAAGTAAAGTACTTGACTTGAATGTTGACCTGGAAGCATGTCATTAACTATTTATAAACTATGACTTATTTGATACGTCATTGCTGCTTGAGCTTCCAAGTAAAGTTTACAATGAAGATAATACGATAGCGCAATGCCTGTACAAAATTTGGTGACAAGCAATTGACATAAGATCAATGTCACTGCACTAGCAAATTTTGCCTAGGAACGTGACACAATCACTGCAATTTGATGAAACTTTATGGAGTAATAAATGGCCTAACATGAAAACAAAGCATCAGGCAACATAAAAAATTGAAAAAACAAAAAATTAATACATATATAAGAAATTTTTTCGAGTAAACTGGAAACATTGAAAAAATTTTTTATCTAGTTAAATTAATGAGATGTGTGACGCTCTTAATAACTCTTTAACGGGCTTGAATGATACCAAATGCTGGTCCCCTACCACAAGATCCCTGAAAAATAAATTTTCAAAAATAAACAACTGTGAGTGCATATTACAATAATTAACTAATTTTGCAGTAAATTTCATCATTGGCAGCATCTTAAAATAAAAACCTTTAAAGTGGAACAAACATGTTTTAAATTCGATTTAAAGCCTGTGTTTGTTACCATGTGGGTGTATATTCTTATAAGAACCTGGACCACTTTCTAATCAATCAACCATAAATCAATCAAATAAATAACAAAACCTTTCATAATGTCATATTTGTTATCAACATATTAGAAAAATTTTCTATGACAAAAAATTATTTACATTTTGCCGTCATCGTACCAGTCCGAATTCAAATATTACTAAATCAAATAAATGTTCTTTGTTTAACTTAGAATCAAAATATTCATATGAATATTAGAGAGATGTACATACAGTGATTCATCAGATGCTTCATCGATGGGAACATTGTCAATTGATTTGAGAACCTTCATGAAAACATAAGAATCAGGATTGGCGTGCAGTTCTGTGGAAAATATTTATGTTTACAAACAGCACCTCCACTGAGTTCAATTTTTTAATTCAGTAATAAGTAGTGAAATTTAAAATGAATTATCTGAAATGGATAGATTATGACAAAACCATACTCATTTCTTTTGCATCAATATTTTGTGAACATTTCGGCATTAGTTTCACAGCTGAGGACAACAAATGGTCTTGAAGAGAAGTGTGATATCTGTGAAAGAATTAAAAAATAATTCAATACAGATCATTTTTACATGAAACATTTCATGAATTGATGAGTTAAAATAAAAAAACTAAATCAACATTACCTTCATTCTGCAGATAAAGATTAAATAAAATTTGATTTGCAATTGAAAAATAACTTACTCCAAAGCAAATTTGAGTTCACTGGGTGTCATCTTTTGACTTTCAGGATTTTTTTCCTCTTCAATTAACACTGAGCAAAACTGTTCTACCTTTTATGCATGAAATTCCAATCAATAAAAAAAACTTCAAAGATCTTTTACCTTTTTATTACCTTATTTTGAATAAGAAAATTTAAGAAAATGAGCGACAATGTAGATAGCAAACATGCATGCCAGGAGCCTTGGAGGATGTATCATTTAGTAACTTCACTGAACTGGTATGAGAATTAATTTAAAAGGTGCATACTTAGTGTATATGTGCTACTATATCTAGCCCAACAATTTTTAAAAAGAACAAAATATAACATTGTTAATTTTTATATTTTCAAGTAATTTATTCTAAAAGCAAAAATTATTTGTGATTTATTTCATATTAAGAATAAGGAATTTGTATGGTCAAAGTGCACAATTTGTGCACAATCAGGCAGGCACATTAGACACAGTACATAATTAACCAGTCCAATTCCAGATACTATTAAAAAACTATTGAGTTATAATATAATGTGTTTGGTTTATAAATTATGATTTATAATGACTGTATTATTGTATTATTAAAAACAATTTTTATTTTTTTCAATGTTTACTGAATATGCATTAGAAAATAAATAATACAACCTTTTGTAACCTTTGTCGCAAATAACTGCTCAGAATGAATTTGATTCTTTCCAACTGTAATGGATATATAGGGCTAGTAGATGTATTATTTATAATAATTTATAATTCAAAGAAAATAACACATACTTCTAATTCATGTATTGAAACTCGAATGTTTGGCTTTCTAGACTTTTCCAAATTTTTTGCCATTGCACTTAACTGATCCAACATGCAATCAACAATCTCAATCTTATGATGCAAGAGTTCAGGTGCAAATTTTTCATTTAACCAAGCCTACATCCATTCAATTAACAATTTTAGTTCAATGAAATGATGAGTGTTTTGTTTTACAAAAATAAAATATAAATCATTTGCATAAATTAAATTCTAATTAACCGTTTCAAGAAGTGAGAGTAATTCTTTTGAGGACATCGTTTTTTCCTCTTCTCCATCTGAACCAGAAAAACAAAATGTTTCTTCCTCACTCATGATTACACAAGCCACAAAATAAAAAGATAATTATATATATATATATATATATATATATATATGAAAAGTACAATTTATTATAATAATGTCAAATAGTGTACTGTATTCTATCTGTGTATGACATGTAAGTACACTTGTAGAGTGCTGTAAATAAACTCGTCTTCTCAAAAAGATGCAGAAAATTCATGTGATGCTGATGGTCCAATGAACAATGATGGTGATACAAACACAACACAACACAAACAAATGTCAGCAAGTGATAGGATCAGAAACAATCCAGCTGATAATGGATAATTAGATAACTTAGTAATGTAAAAAAGTCCTCAATGATGATTCTGTTCTGTTGATTGATATTGATTTATTTTATTATTTATTAAATTATAAAATTGATTAACTGTTTATTTAATAATTAATCTTCAATGATAGAGTGCAGCTCTAGGCTAGGGCAGTGCGCAGTGTTATAGTTTTGTTAGTTAATTTATTTTATTTATTCTTAAACAATATATTATAAAATTAATTGACAATAAATTAAATTTCACAATTATAACTCAAACAATTAAAATATGGGCCTTTAGTTAAAAATTTTTCAATTTGAGGCGGCAAGCTGAAGCTGCAGAGCCTCTGAGTAATCCTAAACAATAACAATAGAAAATAAATAAAAGTCTGTCGGATTTTTCCATCACGTTTTTCTATCGCCTAGCCCAATCGTAAGCTTACCTGAAAGCAAGAGAAGCAATGACAGACCACCCATTATATTTATCGATAGAGAATCATCATGTGGCAGATAATAAAAAAGAAAATAGCCACACGGAAGTATATAACGATAGAAAAAATAACAAGAGAAAATATAATAGAAAAAACAACGAAGAGAGAGATAGTTCAATTGAACTGTTAAGGAGGACCAGTTGTACTTCAAAAATTTACAAAGTTTGCCAAAAAATTTAAGAGAACAGAACATAATAAAAGGAATAGTGTAAATAAGTTGTACTTATGTCACCAAAAAAGCGACTTGTGTGAGATTATGCTGACCGTTTGAAAGAAACACTGCAAAATTTAGAACAATATTTGAGTGAAGAGTAAGCTGATTTCTGAAAACACAGAACACATTCCAGCAAATTTTGATGTTAAGACTTTATGTCAATAAAGGTCTATTACACTCTTTCGATGTTCAGAGAAATTAACTACCCACAGACAGAGTAATATGAATACGTGCTAACAGTGCTTGTAATAGATGGGGATCCTTTTGTCATATTCGAATCCGTTTACTGCGTAATAGGACTTGGCGACCTTAACCGCTAGACCATCACGCCACTCAGACATGTAAAAGACTCAAAAAATTAGCAACTTCGCAGCATTGCAATGAATCAGCAAATCACAGAAAGGAATTAGTGTGGAATTTTGAACTAGAACTGCCCTATCGTATCTCTCCCATTTTACGCTATACTCGATTCAATCAAAAAATGGTTTGCAATTAATTTTTAATTCAAAACTCGCCAAATTCATAACGCATATTTTAAAAATAGCTAGAAGACACATAAAGTACAATTATTAAAATTTGCCAAAGAAATTGGATCCCAATAACACAGCGGTATTTGTATTTATTTTGTATTTTGGCATATATATTTAGGCATTATGCATAACATTTACATATGCATATGATATAGATAGCAAATACTAAACTCACACACAAAGCACAGCGACACAGAGCGGAGCATCAAATTTGTTCGTGTCTGAGAGTTTCAATTAACAGGATCGATGTTTTTTTTAATTAAATAAGCAAATTGCAAGGATGACATGTGGAAAGTCATGTTCTTCCCTTCTTGTTCTTATGCTTTTGCATGTCAGAAATTTTCATTACGACTTTAAAAAAAATAAAAATCGATGGATGATAGAAGCGAAGTATTAAAATATTTTGAAAGCATTTAAATTTTGTATACGTGTTTAGATCAATGCCAATTACGAATGCATAATAATTTAAAATATTTCATTTTAAGTCCCAGCAGGTGATTACGAGAACGGTATCTTCAAATTACTTCTGCTTTAATTAAAGTACATTGCTTTTTTGTGTCCTATTCCATTTAGAAGCATTCAATATTCCATCGTTATGAGCAGTGTTTCCGTCTACCATCACGTCAACGAATGCCATCAACTCATAAGCAACGTCGCCATTGTTTTTTAATCATCTTCATCAAATCAGCGTCATCAAGGCTATCATGGCATCGGGCATTTCATTTGTTTACATGAACCGCATGTTCGCACTGAAGATGAAAAAAGAAGAAGAAGACGAGACACGTAACGTAACATCAGCAGACATCTCCTGTCACGAAATAGCACAATTTTGTCAGTTCTCCAAACATCTGCGCCTTCTTCCTCTTTTTTTTTTAAATTCTTGTCAATGTGTGTTGAAATGCCGGTGACTCGTTCGTGATAGGTTGATGATACATTGATTACGGGTTGATGTGATGCTAGTTATATCAGTATGGATATATGCCCGTG